AAAGAAACTAAAAAAAAGAAGAACTTAAAAAATATTTATTTTAATCAGATGAAGCGATTGAAGATTTCTTTAATTGAATCAATTCACAAAGAATCTGGTCGTCATTAGAAGAATTTTTAAGATAATTATAACGTAATTTGAATAATTCTATTAAACGAATAAGATCTTTACAAATAGGTTCTTTTGAAGTATAAAGGAAAGAATAGAATTTTTGCACAGTTAAAGCCTTTAATAATTGTAAGAAAATATTTTCAGAAGAAGTTATTTGAATTTGAGTTTGTTGTATTTGAGATGAATATTTTTCTTTTAATAGTTTTAAGAGATGAATTGCCATATCTTCTAATACATGATTCATTTCAAAGAGAACTTCTCTAACATTATCAGCATTTTCATTTTTAGATAAGTCAACCACAGTTGAAATAATAGAAGTATTAATTGTATTAACTTCAATTATTTTTGTTAATATTCCATTTTTCATTTCATTAGTTTCATTTGGGACGAAAGGAGAAATAGTAATAGTTTCAATATTGTTTAATATAAAATAACTTCTAAGTAAATTATAAAGATCATCCATTAATACTGTAGTTTTTAATAAATTTAAAATGTCATAACTAATTCTTTGATGACCATTATATTTCATTTCATTAATTTGATTTTTAATTTTATTAGCAAGTTTAAGTGATATAACGTAATTATTTTGACATATACATTGAAGTATTTTACTGATATATTTAATTGGTTGTTGGATCATTCTTGTAAATATTGGTTCTTCTAAAAGATTTTCTTTAATTTCTTTAGTTAATTGAATTTCAATGTCATTACTTAATGAAGCTTTACAAATTGCTTTAGTTAGTAATTTCATAAATGAACTAAGATCAGGTAAATAATTTTCATTAAAAATATCGTTTCCAGTTAATCCTTCAATATATTTAATTAATTCTTTAATTATGTTATTCTTTAACATAAATTCTTCTACTTCTTTACTTGATTTAAAACAATAATAGAAGATTATAAAGAATTGTTTTAAACAATAAATGTTGTTTGTACTTTCACTTATTAAGTTACTCATTTGTTTAACAAATAAAATAACGTTTTGATTTGAACCATTTTTAATAAACCATTTACATAAATAAACTACTCTAATTCTACTTCTTTCACTTTGATTCTTTATAATACATTTTGTAATATCAATTTGCTTCATAACATCATTTGCATATATTTTCTTTCCATTTTCTTTTAATTCAATTAACAATGGATCAATTAAATCAAATAAATCTTCTCTTGATAAATTTATTATATTTAGTATAAATGTACATACAAATAAATTCATTTCACTTCCAATTGAAACTTTTAATAATTCTACATCATTATAAATTATATCATTTAACATTTCAATTCTTTCTTCTTCCATACTTGGATTTAATTTAATTCCAATTGTATTTTCATTTTCTTCTTTATTGATACGTGAATAAACAAAAATATATCCTGATGACTTATTCCCTCCTCCTATTCCTGCTTCTTTTACTCTATTAAATGGTACTGAATAAACATGACTATCATTACATTCTAACCATCCTTCTTCATTTTTAATAAAACTAAAATAATGTCCAGCATTTGCACTTCCAATATGAACAATAACACCAATTAATCGATATTCTTGATTACATCCATATTGACTTAAATTAATAATTTCATTAAATGAACATTCTTCATTATTTTTAATTGTAGAAAAATGATCACTTGCAATACTAAATCTATTTAATTGTAATAATAAATATTGTGGTGCATTTTTAAGTTTATTTTGTTTTATTGCAACAATATATTTTCCATCATCTGTTTTAATCATATTTTCTCCATTAAATACTTCTTCTCTAAAAAATGATTCTAATGATAATTCAACACTCATTCGTAAAGGAAGAAATAGTTCTCTTGATTCACTTTCATGTGTTTTTCTATATGGAACATTTTTATCAAGAGAAGAAATAACATCATCAAATTTACATGTAAAACAATCAAATATTTGACTTCCTTTAAGTGCTTCTTCAATACAATCAAATAATAAATTTATAAAGTCATTTGTATCATGTTGTATTGTTATTAAATCATTTCTATGTTTATAATTTTGAATTGATTCAATTAGTTGTATAGTAGAATAAGTTTTTTTTGATCCAATTGACATTTCTGTAAATAAAATTTGTAATTGATGAATAACTTCTATAGCAAGATCTTTGGAATAATCAACAGAGTTTTCTTCTTCCATTTTATTAGTAACATAATCATTAAATTTATCTAAATTTTGTTTATTTTTGTTTGTTAGAATAATTATATTTTGGTTATTAGAAATAGAATTCTTTTTTGGTTTATTTGGATTAATTTTTAATTCATCACAATTAATTTCAAGAACATTATCTCTAAATATTTTCATATTATATAATTGTTGTAAAGCAGAATTAATATAACAAGTAGCTCCATGATTATAAAATCCAACATGACCACGTCTATGTTCATCTTGTGAAGATAATTCTTTTAATGGAACAATTTTTTTAGGATGTTTTTTATAAATAACATCAGTTAATGTATCAAATATATTTTGTTTATTAACTTTCATAAAATTAAAAAAATGAATAACAGCATGTCTACTTGGATAACTAACAATAGAAATATCTTCAATATATTTTTGAATTAAAATATTTGAAATTGTTATAATTTCATTGTCCGTTAAATATTCTATAAGAATTTCTAATATTTTAATACAAAATGGTAGTCTAATTTCTTTTTGAGTAAAATGTTCATTACAAAAAATGATAATTTCTTTACAATTTTGAATTAATTGAATAACAATATTTTTATGTATTTTATGTTTTTGTAATATTTTGCTAAGTTCACAAAGAATTAAATACCATTGAGAAAGAATTGTTGATTCTTTTAATTGGTTTATAATAAATAAATTATTTATTACTTTATTAAGAAAAGCATCAAATGTATTATTTTTAATAAGACTTTCAATAACTAATTTACTAATTTTAGGAATAATACATTGCATTTCAATATTACTTTGATTTGATTGAATTATATTTTTTAATACTAAATATATTCTTTCTCCATCTAAAAAGTGTTCACTTCCTTCAATAGAACTAATCATTTTCATTATACTTTCTAAAATACTTAATGACTCTTGACTTCCTGCATTTTTTTCAATACAAATAACACATTTTTCTATTATTTCAAAATAATTGTTATTTGATTCTTTATTACTTTGACAATATTTCCCATAGATTTTTCCTATTAAATCTATTCCTTCAATAGAATTAATTTCATCAAGATATTTAATAATCCATTCAATACAATAATTATTTATTTCTTCTTCTTGTTCAATTGTTTGTAAAAAATAAATTAATTCACTTCCATTTTTTTTAATATCTTTTCCTTCTTTTAAAAGTTTTACTTCATTTTTAATAGAAATAATAGTTGGTAATCTCATTAAGATAAACCATATTATTTGTTTAATTGATTGATTTCCATTATCATAAATACCAAATAATTCTTTAATATCTTCTTGTTGAATTACAAAATCAACTAATGAATTATGTTCTACTTTTTTCTTCATAAAACTTAAATCAATCCCTTTAAAATTAATTTTGGATAAATCTTTATTTAATTCAATTTCAATATCTTTTTTATTTTCTAATAATTGACCCATTGCTTTATCAAGTGAATGATACATTTGAAGTGCTTTAGTTGCTAATTCATTTGAAACTTCACAAACTTCCATTAATTTATTAACATCACTTTGACTAATTTGTTCAATTGGTTTTTGATCAATTACTTGTTTAGATTTTAAATCCGATAATTTTTCTTTTATATTCACATTAACTACATGTAATGTTTCTGTTAAAGGAATATTAAGTTCTCCAAGTGTTGATTTTTTTGTTATTTTTTGTTGTGTTAATAATGTGTCAATTCCATTTAATTCTGTAGTTCCATTAATTTGTGATAAAATTTCTTCAATTGTACTATCTCTTTCTCCAATAACATTATATTCTTTTCCATTATATAATACAGTATATTCTAATTTTTGTTTTCCAATACTTTGATGATGGTTTTCTTCATTTCTTAATAAAAGTTGTAATATTCTTAAATAATATATTTGTGGGTCTTCTTTAATCCATTTCATTAATGTTTTATAAGCGTCTTCTCTTTTTGCACTCAATAATATTTCTTTAAAAAATTTTTCACTTTTAACAATAGCTGTAGGTGATTGTAGACTTTTCATTATTTTTTTTAATATATTTAGCCATTCAAGACTTTCTAATGACTCGATTGTATTATAATAGTTCTCTTTTTTCTCTAATTTATATATCTTTTCTATTAAAAGAATAATTAAATCAATTCCATTTGTACTATCAAATATACTTTTATTTTCTTCTGTAATCTTATCACTAAAAGCAACTATTTCATATTCTAATAAAACTTCATTTGATGTATTTAAAATATTACAAAAGAATGATATAATTAAATCTTTAAATGAAACCGCTATAGTGTCAACTAATAATATCCAAAGTTCATTTATATATTCAAAACAATCTTCTATATTAATATTAATATATAACTTAATTGCTTGAAGACAATACCTTAACAGTTCCATTTGAACTTCTTTACATTCTTGATATATTACTTCTTGAATTAATTGTAAAAATATTAAAATATCTATTCCATCAAAATTACTTGCTTTTTCTAATGAAAGAACAATACTTTTTAAAATGAATAATAAAGAATATGTTATTTTCCTTTTCTGAGAATATTCTACTAATCGTTGATATAAAAGAATAAATAACTGACTTGTTCTATTTACATTAAGCGTTCCAATTGTTTGATAATTTATCTCAATTGCTTCATCTGTTAATAAATTATTAATTGTTGTAGCACATTGGTCACCTCCAAGGTTTAATAACTGAACACATTCAACAGAACTTGGTTTATACATTCTTATCATTTGTTTCATTTCTTCTGTAAGAGTGACTTTATTAATAATAAAGTTTATAACAGCTTTCCTAAGAGTATTATTTTTAGTCAATTCTAATAACTTCTTAAAGAAGTTAATTGGATCTGAACTAAGTCCATGTTCAATAAATGGTATTATTTCATTAAATTCCATAACATTATTGGGTGAAAGGAATGGTTCTAGTAGCTCATAATCATAAATATCACAAGATTGAATTAATGACAATTGGTCAGAACGGGTATACATACCAATGACTTCATGAAACTTTTTTTTAAACTGTAATTTTATTGAAGGAAATTCATTAATAATACTGAACAACAATTTCTTTGATTCTAAAGAAACTATGCTATAATATCTAATACATAACTCAATGAAAATATTATAAAATATTTTCACTAAAATGACTTCTTCATTTCTTATAAAAGCAAAAATGATTGGAAAACTTTCATTGACATAAAAATATGCAAATTGTTTATCAAATATATTAGTATTTACATTTTCTAATTCCATTTTTAAATCTATAATTTCATTTATGTTAATGGACTCATCTCTTTCAATTTTTTTCATATGCATTTTGATGATGTCTATGTATCTTTGACTCACATCTCCCATTTTCTATCTTCTTTTGAGTTTTTTAGTTCTTTTTCAAACACCATAATACAAAAAACATTTTTTTTGTTTTATTTTATTAAGTTTGAGGTTTTTTGTTATTTATTTTCACGAGAAGTTCAAATATTAATTAAATAACTAGTAAAAAAATAATAAAAGAATA